ATCCTTTGTTTAGCCCTGTAACAAAGAGTCTTACCAACATAAAGACCCAATGTCTGTCTAATCAAATCTTAAATTTCTCAAATCTTTATGTATGGTTGAGATACAATTTTATCCTTAAATTACTAGCAATTAACTTTGAACTACACAACTTGTTCATGTTTAATGGAATACACTTGCGAACATTATGATAGTTCTTCACAATGAAATCACCTGAGTCCTTTTCAATGGAAGCACACAACAACCATTTATAGTTAGGATTTTTGCACTTCACCTTCACTTTATGTTTTACATTAGGTCGTAACCTTATCTGCCTCTTGTACTCTACAACATAATCTGTCACCGCTGAACTGATTTTGCACCCTCAAAGATCATTCCAAGCTCAAATATTGACACTTCCTAATCTTCTTCATACCTAATTTTTTTGCTTCTTTTTCTAGCAAGTATATCTACTCTCCTAACAACATCCACATCTAGTTGTTCATCACTATCATCACTCTAAAAGTCAAATCTATCAATATAATCCTCAACTTTACCCAATTTTTTTTTCATATTTGTCAGTTATATTTTTTCTAACATTTTCAAAGCCTCTATCTATATCACCAGCTTTTCCGCTAGTATTGCTTCTTGTTCAATAGCTTTTTTTCTCTATTTTTTGTTTCTTCTTTCTTGTCTAAACGCTCTCAACTCCTCTTCAATATTTGAACCATCTTTTGAAGGTATATTTAGATCTGAATCACTACTCAAGAAATCATATTCACCTTTTCCACCTAGGTAAAAATCCTCATTCTGTCCAACTAAGTTAACAACCTCACCCTCTTCACAAATATTAACATCAACACCCTCACAACCAAGGTTAAAAACCTCATCTCTCCACCAAGGTTAACAATCTCATCTTCTCCACCTAGGTCAACATCCTCACCTTCTCCACCTAGGTTTACATCCTTATCCTCTCCACCTAAGTTAACAACCTCACCCTCTTCACCAAGGTCAACATCAATACCTTCACCACCAACATTAGTTAGATAGCCTCTAAGTCCCTTAGTGTCAAGTAAGGGTTCATCTAATACATGACAGATATACTTCAAAAGTGTCCTTATGTTTTAAGTCTTTTATTAGGTGTAGAGATGTTGGTCACTTGTAATTCGGACCCATTGTTTATTCAATAAGTCCTTGACATAAAAGCCTCCAACAATTTCATAACTCAATTCTTTAGTATAATACAGTAGTTCCATAAATAAGAGAGTGGTCCTCAATAATATACCTGAGTGCATGCACACAATCTTCAACAAAAATAGGGACAAATATCTTGGATAAGATTCCATCATGGTAATTTTTTGTAAATATAATCTCCTTAATGGTCAATTGTTAGGTAGACCTACAAAATATCAAACAACTAGCTTAAGATAATGAAATATACTGATATAACACATACAACAACTAAAAAAATAAAGTTTTAAAGCATATTTTTTGGAAAACATAAAAGAAGGGACATAATATTCCCAAAAATGACAAACTCTATATTTTACAAAATCTTAGCTTTTTGGAATTCATTTAACAAACATGTAAAAAAACATTAACAATCCTAACTTACACAAGGAAAATCTTCAAGATCGAAACACGAACATGACAAATTCAATTTCAATTTGGAGGAAATCGTGAAGATAGAAAACTTCAATTTGGAGGAAATCGCGAAGATAGAGAGAGAGAAGTTCTATCAAAGTTAACAATTTAGAAATTTTCCCCAATTAAGACATTACAAATACACGTCGGATACATGTGATAGTTGTTAAATGGATATTCTATACATGTCGAATACACATGGGGAGCTCAGATACACGCGTCACACGATTTATGAAAAGTGAAAAAAAATGCTTAGACTGTTCAAATCTAGGGTGGTAGAGGTGTTCAATGGGTAGTAAGTTTAGTTGAGGTGTCTAAATGAATATGATGGCAAATTTAAGGGCCGCAGATGACTTTGGCCTTGAAATTACAATATGGAATCATGAAATGAAATCATAAGATGAAGTTGAAGTTTTGTTTGGACATGTAATTTGAGCTTTTTATGTTTTCTCATAAACATGAAAATCTCATAAGTCGTAAAATATATTAAAATTGACACAATTATTTACACAATTTTATCAAATAAGCACAAGCTTATAAAATCTTACACAATCACAAAGATATTCTTAAAACATATAATATTTATTGATTAAATTTTAATTCAATAAATATTAAATTAAATGTAGTTTGTGGTGGACTAGTTTTTAATATAATCCACCTACTTATTACGGACAATTATCTCACGCTGAACTTGCATTTTCATTCATATGGCTGAGAAACGCAATCACAAGCACAACAATTCTCTAGATCATATACTATTTTTTTTTAGATATTGTTAAATCTGAAAATGACCTATCAAATTACTAAATTATTGTTGTGATTTTTAAAATTATTATGTTATACATTTTTATCTTGAATTTAAATTATTATGTCATATAAAGTATTGTTAAACTAAAATTTTCATCTTATCATTTAAATTTTGCGCATTCTTCATAGTGAAAATCAATAATAATATAAAATTATCTCTTAAAGTGACGAAAATTGAAAAAAAAGTATTTGAAATATTGTTAATTCAAATAGTATATATTAAATAATAAATTTTTAAAAATGTTGTATTACATTTAAAAAGAATTATGAATATTAATAATTTAATTAATCATATAAAAAAATTATATGTTAGTTATAAATAATATAAATAATATTAAATTAATAAAAAAGTGATATTGAGAGGATGAATAACACTACTATTCACCTCTATATAGATATAGAATCGAGAGCTTTTTCATGGTGATTACAGTGACGACTAAATCTTAATGTACTATAGCAATGATAAAATAAAACCATAAAATAATGTATTTATAACTATTATTAATTAAAATTTTCGTTATAGTTTGTTGTCAATCTTTTATCAATTATTAGCCATATATTTAGAATCTTTTATTATTTTTCTAAAAAGACAATTAATGTAATTATAATTAAAAGTAGCATGCAATCAGATTTCCTTTCTACTTCTTGATGTGTCTGGTTCACTTCAATTTGAATAAATATTTAATATTGGCTTTTTAAGTTGTCTTCAATTCTTGGAGGTGTCTTTTTAGACATTTTAAGTCCAATCTAATTAGATTACCAAATAATTAAAGGGATAATTATATAAAATGACAAGTTAATAATATAAAATAAATATAGTAGCTATCGTTTAATTTATTTGTGTTCCATATCAAACTATTTCTCAGTCGCCTTTCTCCCTTATATTCTCGCTCGCCACTCTCCCTCTCTCGATTGCTCCCTGTCGCTCGTCTCTCTCGCTTTATACAATAGAAATGTATAAATTTTGTTTTTGTTTGTATAAAGCGAGAGAAAATTATATATACACATGCAAATACATATATTTTCGTCCTATACACTTATAATTATACAATACAAATATTTCTCTGCCCAAGTCTCTTTTGTCTTTCTCTCTTTCTCATTTTATACAAATTCAAATTGTATATAATTTCTCTTTTTCTCGTTTTATACAATTTGATTCAATTGTATATTCCCAGCCCAAACTTTTTTTGCCTTTCTCTCTTTCTCGTTTTATACAAATCCAAATTATATATAATCGTCCTATACACTTGTAATTATACAATACAAATATTTCCCTTCCCAAGTCTTTTTTGTCTCTCTCTCTTTCTCGTTTTATACAAATTTGAATTTATATAATTTCCCTCTTTCTCGTTTTATACAATTGGATTCAATTATATATCCCCTGCCCAATTGTATAGCGAAATAAACATAGTTATTAATTGTATATGTATAGAAAATTATACACATATATGTTTGTTATGGAGCACAATTATACAAACTTTGCTATAATATATAAATTTGAATTTTGTGTTTGCTATATGCGAAAGTTGCCCATAATTAAAATTAGAAAAACATCGTCTAAGCTTAACTTTGAATGTATTCTAAAGCATAACAATTACTGCAATATTGATAATTTAGACCAATTTTGTAATCAAGGTGCATGACATATTAGTTCTAATTTTAAATACTTCTACAACTTCCAAAATAATTGCTCTATTAGTTTTTTTTTTGTCGAAGTCATGTGTGGCCCCTTAAAGTTGTCCGCATAATTCATTTAGACACCTTAACAAACCTCATTTTCTATTAGACACTTCAATCTTAAAAAATAAATACCTATTGAACATTTTTCTGACATTGGGTAAAAAAAGGAAGTGTGTGTGATACACATGCATATGATGTGTCAATATAGCAAATCAAATAAAGACACGTGGCATTTTAATTTAAAAGAAATATAATTATAATTTCTTTATATAAATAAGTCAAAATTAAAAAGAAAAGTTTCCTAACTTATTTTTTTTAAAAAAAAATTATACACCTCACCCACCTCCCATTGCATCCCAACCCCGATGTCCCTTTCTTCCTTTTCTTAATACTCACCCTTCTTCACCGTTGTTGGTCTCCATTTTTTTAGCGAAAAAGATGTAGATTTATATCTTCATTTTTTTCGGTAAAGAACCGATGATATTGATCTTTATTTTTTCGGAAAAAAGAAAAGTTCTTTTTACATCTACAAAATCAATAATATAATGATAAGAAAATAAATTAAACAAAATTAAGAACAAAAAAATGAAAATTCATATAAGAAAAAAGTGACATCAAATTGTTTTCAAGAATGGCTGCAGAAATGACGGGAGTTATCTACAAAGATACAAGATTGTTTTTTTTAAAAAAAAAAGAGAGAGAAAAAGAAAATATAGAAAAATAAAAAGGAAAAAAAAGAAAAAATTGAAAGATAAATAAGAAGATGTTAAAATTACGATTTCATGCGCTTACCAAGCGTGCATCACTTCTTATGCCACATCTGCATAAAGTGTTTAAATGGTTCAAATTCTAGAGGGTAAAGGTGTTCAATAGGTATATGTCCTAGTTAAGGTATCTAAATGAATTATGCAGACAACTTTAAGAGGCTACAGATGACTTAGGCCTTTTTTTTTTAATCTCAGAAAGTCTTAAATATTGCAAGGCATAAAAATACAACAGACTTGTTCTAATAACATCCCTCAAAGATCCAATAATCTTATATATCAACGTCACTTATAAGAAAGTTCTCAAGCAACAGTCTTCTTGAGCTTTGCAAGCTCCTGCCTCACAACTCCAACTCTCTTAATCTTTGCCAGCATAAGCTTGAACCTGTCAAAATGGTTAAGTGCAGCTCTCCTCTTCTGCACTATCAACTTCCTTTCCCATGAATTGTTCACCCACTTGGTCTTCACATCAGCAGCTTCCATAGCCTCAACCAGGGTCTTCTTCTTTGGATTTCTTTTGATGTCAATGTTGATATCTGTAAGTGAAAGCATCTTGAAGTTCATATGGCTTCTCACCATGTCTAGAGTATCAACAATTGGGCCGACTCAACAAGATTGAAAGCTTAAAGCCGAACTTCAAAGAGGGGCCCTAATATTTTCAATTTTTTTTCAGAAAAAATATTCATGTTATATATTTTTTTCTTGCCTTTTTAGATGTGAAGTCATTGATCTAATCAATTTGTTTTACTAATTTCTTTTTAATTGATAATACAACTAATACATTCAATCTCACATCATTGATCTTAGATAAGATTTTATCAATTAGTTTCGAAAAACTTCTTTTGGTCGAGATAATAGTTACAGGAATTGTTAACATTATTCTATAAACAATAAATGCATTAGAAAAAAAATCAAGTCTTTTTATTTGATTGAGTGTTTCCATTAAATCATTATCTTCTACTTGTATTATTTCTCTTAATAATAACTAAAAGGAGAATATATATATACTTACTAACTAAGAATATCAACAATTAAAAAACTTCAAAAAAAATTATAAAATAAAGTTAGAATAATAAAACCTCGATCACGAATTTGATAAGTTGATATAATAATATTGAAATAGTTTTGCGGTCCTTCAATATAATGATTGCTTGTTGCAGTTCTTGAGATTTTGAAGAAGACACTCAAAAACAAATTTTGTTCTTTTTTGACTTATAAGCAAAAATAAATCATTTTTTAAGGAGAGATTCAAAATTGAGCATAAAAATAATAAAATAGAGGGAAAAAAGATGAGTATAAGGTAAATAACAATATATGGTCAAATTTTTCGGAGATAAATAAGAAAGCACAATTTCTCACTTAAGAAATGATTTTCATAAAATATTTCAATTCCTTTGAAAACTGGGGAAAAATTAACGGCTATTCTTGTTTTTTTTAATACTTCTTACATGTTTTTTTTAAAAAAAAAATTAAACATGCATATAATTTTAAGTAATATGTATAAGTATTTTATTTTAAATCCCCCCCCCCCCCCATAACAATATGGAGCTTCAATCGATGACTTTAGTGTCCTAATGGCTAAGACGACCCTAATCAACAAGAGCCCTATGTTGGTTGATGACGTCAACGATAACAAAGAGCCTTCCATAATCCTTTCCATAGTTGATTAGGCTACCCTTCCAATCTCCACGAACCTCTTGAACGAAATTTTCGGCGATCTGAAGGAGTAGAAGCGCTAGCCAATTGCTCTATTAGGTAAAGTCTTAATTATATTTTTAAATACTTCTACGACTTCTACAATAATTTTAATAGTTTGCGTAACAATTGATTCAATTGAAAGGTTTTCAAAAATTATAATCAAAAACCTAAAAAATAAACATATATAGTATTATGTAACATACAATGATTTATATATGTCTATTTATGTCTTACGAATTATTACAAGAAATATTTTATTGTCAATTGAAAAAAATATTAATCATCAAATTATAGTTAACTATCATATATTCGTATAAATTCGATAAACATAATACCTCTTTTTTGAAAATTTTGCTTTTTACAAGGCCCGCTTAAGCGAACCTGTGCCCACCTTTGTGACATTTGAGATCCCCTTTGACCTGAATTTTGAGGTTTAAGCTCCAATTTCCATTGTTGAGCTTGAAAAACTCTTGGAGACAATTTTTGAAGAGATTTCTTGTGTAAATCTTTTGGATAAGCTTTTGTGATCCTAAAACTTCATTTCTCTTTGACTATTTATGGATTTTAACATCAAAAATTGGAATTTTGATTGAAAAATTACAGTTTTTGAAGAATCAAGTTTTAAACCAAAATTGAGATTGTGAGTTTACTTTGATTCCTTTTTTGAAAATGGTTTTCACTAATGAGTTCCGATATCCTTTAAGTATTAAATTTATAATTCGAACCTTCTTTTAGAAATTGAGTTTGAGTTGATTGACCCAATTCTTTTTAAAAAAAATTGATGTGGATATTGTTATTTTATATGAATACTTGTTTATATATAGGTTGTGTGGCTTCGAAAGTGATTTGAATGGGGAAGATTCAACTCTTGAAATAATTACTTGATTTCATTAAGGTAAGTGATCTCTTAATTTTTTTGTCTAGTAGAATTATCTACTTCTTTTCATTGTTTTTGTGTTCGGTGTTATGTGAATGAGGTAAGGAATTCATTGTTCCACTTGATTAAGCTTTATGAGAAAAATGGTTAATTGAAATATTATGTGTTGATTGTAAGGTTTGTGAATTTCCTTTTTATGCCCCTACTTGCTTGATTGATGAATTTCTTAAATACATGAAAGTGGATTGAATTGCATGAATTTTTCTCTTCTGTGTGGTGTGATATTTTTCATGTGCATTGATTGTTGAACACCGTGATAAGACATGTTGAGGGTGATGATGTCAAAGTCATTTACAACAAATGTTATGATGTCATTTCCGGCAACAAAGGCGTATCTACAGGGGGTTCCACGGGTTCACGTGAACGCGTGTTTTCCTTTCCAGATCATATATAGTAGTGTTATATTTTTCAAAAAATATTTAAATATAGAAGTGTGAACTCACATCAAAAGTAGCATATAATAATACGATGATGATTGGGTGCACCGCTCTAAGCAAAGATGGTAACTTAAATCTTATTTTTGTTGACATCCTTTGAATGGGACCAACGTCGCGGCGACTCAATTAAAAAAGAATTTAAGTTAAAAGAATTTTAAAACGGGTAAAAGGGAGTTAAAAAGGAAAAAGGGAGTAGCCACCTAATTATTATTTTTTTGAAAAACTAGGAAACTGATTAATTAATTAACTTGAAAGAAATGTCTATGAAACCAATTTGATTCTACGTAAGGGGTTCAAGTTATTACGAATGGAAGGGGTTAGACACCCTTCGAAATCCACAACTGTGGTTCCCGACTTAGTTCATTTATTCAAATTGAAAAGGAGAACAAAATAATGTACAAATATAATAAACATGCAATATACACAATAAAATAAAATAATAATATCGGCCTAAGGTTTGCCTAACATCGCTATATACAAAATAATGAATTGTAAAATATAATTCCAACTCCTTTCGAATAGCTTCAAGGAAGCAAGTCTTTGGCACATGTAAACACACTTAGTAAAAGTGTTAGTTTAGTAATAAATAATTATGAATAAAATTGAATGTATAAAATAATAACTTTTAAAAAACCCGACTTATTAACATTTAAGGCCTTGGAAATTGACGATAATTTCTTTATCGGCCAATTTAACAAATAAACATATATAAACTTAATTTAAATTTTCATCTTTTAAAATAGGAAAGTCTCCAAAATTGACGGAGAGTTTTCTCATTGCCAATTTGACAATAACATTGCTTAAAACGATAAACAAAATATTAGTGGTCTGATGGGTGGCCGACAAAATCTTCACAAACGACAATAAAAATTTTCTCAACAATGTTATAACACACGTATAACGCTTAAAATGTCCAAAGTAATAAATAATAAATAATGTAAAATAATAATAATAATAAATAACCAAAATCAACCTTGAACAGATTGAAAAATAAACTAATAGAAAATAATCATCATGACAGTCACTCATATATCACAAAAATAAATTAAGAATTAGAAGAATAGTAACTAAAAATATAAAACAAACCAAAGAAAATCATAAGAATATAACCATGATAATGCAAAGGAAAAAAATAAAAATAAAAACTCTGTAAAATAAGAGCAGTCATTAAAATGAAATAACAATAATAAAGTTAATATTGCACCAAACCTATAATAATACTACTGTTACTAACAATAATAATAATAAAAATAATAATAAACTGTATGGTACAATGGCAATAAAAATTAATAACTACTCCTCCAATGAACCAATAAACCAATAAAAAATGAAATATAAACCATCAAAGTCATAATCTCAATAAACAAAAATAACGAACAAAAGAGAAAAAATAAACAAACCACTCAATATGGTTGTTGTCCGGCGATGCTGGTGTCGTTCTTGTTGAGTATTCATTGAAAATGGATTTGAGGTGGAATTTTGTTCACCCAAGTGCAGCTCACCAATAACCTGCAAAACAAATAAAAAATCGAAAGCGAAAAGAAGAAGAAGAAGGGATTTGGTTCATTGTTTAGCTCCGGTTCACTGGAGTTTTGAGCTCCTCGTCGGAGTTGCTGCTGGTGTTCGCGAGCTTTGAGCTCGATGGTGGAGCATTTGGACTCGGAGTTCCGGTGATGGACTCGTGATGGCTGTTTTGGATCAGTTTCGGCGGCTGAGCGTTTGGGGTTAATTTAGTGGTCGTTCTAGCGAGGTTTTGCTGGAAACAATGGAGAAGAGGGAGAGGTCTGGTTGTGCACTGCGATATGGGTTTGGTTTGAGGCTGTTTGGGGTCGATTTTGGCTGAAGAATGGTGACATTTTCTGGTTCATTTTCAGTTAGTTGTGGGATTTTGTTTGCTGGAAAAAGGGAAGAAGGTGATTGGTTTCAGTCAGAGCTTGGCCGGAGAATTGTAGGAAATTTGAAAGAAAAAATAATACATTTAGAAAATGCTCAAGTTTATTATAGGCTACTTAAAGTCACTTGAACTTGAAATGATTACAGTCATCAACTACATCACTATTTTTACTGCTCAAAATAAAAAATAAAAAGTTTTGCACAAATAATTAAATATATGTGTCACAATTTACTAGATACATGTACTACGAAATTCTAAAGAGACTTTTTGAAAAACTAAGAGACAATTTTGGAAGACTAAATATTGATGCATTAATTCCAACACTCCCCCTTAATGGATTTGCTTGATAACTCCAATGCGTTCTCGAAGATAGCAAAAATTTTCTCTAGGAAGTGCTTTGGTGAAGATGTCAGCAAGTTGTTCTCCTGTCTGACAATAATGCAACTGAATTTCGCATTTCTCTTGTGTTTCTCGGATAAAATGATACTCGATGAAAATATGCTTTGATCTTGCATGGCTGACTGCATTCTTATCAATTGCAATTATTGATTTGTTATCACAATATAGAACAATCCCTTTTTTTTTGTTTTTCACCAATGTCTTCAAATATTCTCCTAAGCCAAATAACTTGAGAAGTAGCCTTGGATGCTGAACATATTATGCTTCAGCAGTAAATTGAGCAACAACACTTCGCTTTTTGGATAACCAAGAACAAATACTTGATCCAAATAAGAAAGCATAACCAAAAGTACTTTTCATGTCATCTATACTTCCAGCCCAATCACTATCAGAATAACCAATTAAGTTCAAATTTCCACCAAATTTGTACATTATCCCATAATCCATTGTTCCTTGCAAGTAGCGTAGAACACGCTTTGCGGCTCCAAAATGCACTTTGCTTGGTTCTTGTTAGCAGCAAACATAATATCTGACCTTGTTGAAGTAACATATAGCAAACTTCCAATCAAACTCCTAAAAGTGAGCTATTAACTTTCTTTTCTCCATCGTCTTTTCTAAACTTCTCATTTGCTGCTAATGGTATGGCCACAGACCTGCAATCCATCATTTTGAATTTTTGAAGAATACTTTTAGTATACTTCTTTTGAGAAATGAAAATTCCTTCTTTCACTTGAGAAAATCTGATGCCCAAGAAATAATTAGCAATCCAAGATCACTCATTTCATAAGCTTGCATCATATCTTGTTTGAAATTTTGCATCATCTTTACATCATTTCCTGTAAAGAGCAAATCATCCACATAGAGACTAACAATGATAATGCTGCCATGTTCTTTCTTCGCATACAAAGTGGTTTCACTTTTACTTCTCTGAAAATTATTTTTCAGAAAGTATGTATCAATTTCATTTTACCAGGCTCTTGGAGCTTGCTTCAGCCCGTAAAGAGCTTTTTTTAGTCTATACACCTTTTTTTCTCCCTCTTGAACAAAAAATCCTGAAGTTGCTCAACATAAATCTCTTCATCAAGTTTTCCATTCAAAAATGTTGATTTAACATCAAGTTGAAATATCTTCCATTTCTTTTGTGCAGCAACAAAAATTCTAATTGTCTCAAGACAAACAACTGGAGAGAAAGTTTCATAAAAATCAATACCTAGTTTTTGCGTGAAGCCTATAGCAACCAACCTTGCTTTGTGCTTTTGAATATCTCCTTCCTGATTGAGTTTGATTTTGTAAATCCATTTTAGACTTACAACTTCTCTTTCTCTAGGAACAGCCACAAGCTCCCAAGTATTATTTTTTTCGATCATTCGAATTTCTTCTTCCATGGCTTTCTTTCAAACATCATGCTTTATTGCTTCTTCATAATTTTCTGGCTCAACACCGACAAAATTACATCTTTGATAAATGTCACTCAACATTTTTGTTCCTCTTGGAGGCGGTTCTTCATTATATGAATTTGGGAATTCTCCCCCTTAAGAGACATCTTCATCTTTCTCATCCTCTTCTTGATTTGAAGATATGATAGCAGTATTCTCTATGTTTTTATCCTCCCAATTTCATGTTTTTTTTCATCAAAAATGACATCTCTACTAACAACAAGTTTGTTAGTTTTGACATCGAGAAGCCTATATCCTTTTGTTACATCACTGTAACCAAGAAAGACACATTTTTGACTTTTTTCATCCAATTTTGTTCTTTTCTCAGCAGGTACATGAGCATAACAAATACACCCAAAATTTTTAAAATGACTTACAGAAGGTTTAATTCCACTCCAAGCTTCAACTGGTGTCTTGTCCTTTAGTGACTTTGTTAGACACCTATTAAGGATGTGAACTGCTGTATGCACTGCTTCTGCCCAAAAATATTTTGGCAGCCCTTTCTCATTCGTCATAGTTCTGGTCATTTCAACAATTGTTCTATTTCTTCTTTCAGATACAACATTGTGTTGAGGAGTATACCCTGTTGTAAGTTGCTTCTGAATGCCTTCATTTTTGCAATATTCTTCAAATTCTCGACTTGTGTACTCACCTCCTCGATCACTGCGAATGGTTTTGATGCTGCAGCCTTTTTGCTTCTCAACAAGGGCTTTAAATTTCTTGAATGTAGCAAATGCTTCTGACTTTTCTTTCAAGAAATAAACCCAAGTCATTCTTGAGAAATCATCAATAAAGATTAGAAAATATCTTTGACCTCCAAGAGATGGAGTCTTCATTGGTCCACAAATGTTGGTATGTATTAGTTTCAAAAATACACTTGCTCTCCAAGACACCCTTTTGGAAAAGACTCCCTATGTTGCTTTCCCATTATACAACTTTCACATGTATCCACCTCAGTATGTATCTCAGGATGAGCTTGCACCATGTCCTTTTGCTTGAGAAGCTTTAAACCATGAAAATTCAAGTGACAAATCTTTTGTCCCAAAGCCATGAATCATCTACAATTTCATTTTTAATGCATTTTAATGAAATTGCAAAGGGAAGTTTCTTTTTATCATCTTTACTTCAACAATGACTTGATTTGGCTCAATTTTATCATAAATCTTGCAATAATTATCTCTAAACACAAGAGAATAACCATTTTCCATGAGTTGATCAACACTAAGCAAATTTTCTTCCAAGTCAGGAACATAAAGAACATCATGAATTTGCTTACCGCATCCTTTCATGTTGATCGAAATAGTACCTTTATCTTTCACATCAACTAAGGCTTCATTCCCCATCTTTACTTTAGTAGTGATGCTATTATTAATTGAGAGGAAAGTCTTTTCATCTCCAGTCATGTGATTACTACAACCACTATCAACATACCATTCATTGCTTTTTGTTGAAGCATCAGATTTAGAAGCAAAGAAAAGATTTTCTTCCTCATGTTTTTCACAAAAATTTGCTTGCTCCCGTTTCTTGTGCCAACAATCCTTTTTAACGTGGCCAAACTTTTTACAAAAGTTACATTAGGCTTGCCTTTGTGCCAACATTTTTCTACATTGTGATTAGTCTTTTTGCAAATTTTACAAAAAAGACTAGAGTTTTTCTCACTTTTTTCTTCAACCTTTTTGGAAGAACCATTATGATTCTACTTCTTTTTTGGCTTGTGATTTTTATTCTGATGATTTTTTGAGAATTTTTGAGTATTCTCATTTATTTTAGAATGGAAAGTCGTCTCTTAGGGTTGATCTTCACAATCTTCGCTTCTCATGTGCACGAAATGATCCAACTAGCACTTTGATGGAAAGCTTAGAAAGATCTTTCGTTTCCTCAGTGATAGCAACGATGTACTCATACTTTTATGTGACACTAATTAGAATCTTTTCCACAAGTTGTTGATCAGAAATTGCATCACTATGATTTCTCATTTCATTAACAATATTCATGACTCTTGTGCAATATTCATCAATTTTTTCAGATTCTATCATCTTTAAATTTTGAAAATCTCTTCTAAGAGTTTGAAGATTTATAGTGCGTACCTTTTCGTCACCATACACCTCAGTTTCCAGAAAATTCCAAGCTTCCTTTGCAGTCTCACAAGTAGCAATTTTTGCAAAATATGCTCTTGAGACTCCCATTTGGATTTTGCTCAAGGCTTTTGCATCTTGACGATACTTAGCCTTAAGATTTTTCATCTCTGCTGCTGTAACATCACCATCATTTTCTAACTCTTCAAATCTATTTGCAACAATAGTCCACAAACCTTTAGCTTTCAAATGTGTTCTCATTCTTATCTTCCGGTATTCAAAATCAGTTCCATCAAAAAATGTAGTAAGAACAAATGAAGAATCCGCACCTTCATTTGTTTTGGATGCCATATTCTTTTCTTCACTTAACCATAAATTAAGAACGAAAACCTGCTCTGATACCAATTTATAGGAAATATGAAAGAAAAAATAATATCTTTAGAAAATGCTCAAGTTTATTATAGGCTACTTAAGGCCACTTGAGATGATTACAGTCATCAACTACATCACTATGTATACTACTCAAAATAGAAAATAAAAAGTCTTGCACAAATAACAAAATACATGTATTACAATTTACTAGATACATGTACTACGAAATTCTAAAGAGACTTCTTGAAAAATTAAGAGACAATTTTAGAAGACTAAACATTGATGCATTAATTCCAACAAGAATATAGGTTGGTGGTGGATCATATGAAAAATATAAAAATCTCAAAACATAAAATTTTTACCACCCACCAAAACCTAATGGACCAACTATTTCATATATAGGGAGTTGAAGAATATGGGCCCAAGTTATAGGCTTGAGGTTGTGACCCAAAAATTGTCGATTGATAAAATATCTGTGAATACAAATTGTATTCAAAATTTGAATAAATTTTCAAACTGCGCAGAATATTAAAATGACTATTAACTGTGTAACAAAGAAAAAATGAATAAGAAAATGTAATAAACATAATCAATTATAGGTAAAAAAATGCAATTTAACAGAAATAATGATTTTATAAAAAATGACAAATAGTTGAACGTCTGGCTATGACAAAGTAATATAAACATAACAATCAATAAGAATCCCAATACTTTAAGAAAAATGATGATTATCAACAAATTTTATTAAAATAATATAAACATGTATTTTGAATTATTTAAAATAAAATACTCAAAACGTATTGATTTTAAGACTATCAGACCGAAATTTGGTGTCAACAATATCTATTTTTTTTAGTAACACTGCTCAAGTGGTTATCTGTAATATTTTTGGCGTTCCAATCATTTTTTCTATTATCTTTTGC